TGGCTCTATCTTGGCTCATTGCAACCTCCGCCTCCCAGGTTCAGGGGATTCTCCTGCCTCTGTTTCCCAAGTAGGTGGGCTTACAGGCGCATGCCACCACACCTGGCTAATTCTGTGCTTTTAGTAGAGATGGGATTTCACCAAGTTGGCCAGGCCGGTCTTGAACTCCTGACCACAAGCGATCCACCCACCTTGGTCTCCTAAAGTGCTGGGATTACAGGCATGAGGCACTGTGCCCGGCCTTCTGCTTTTTGACTCACGAATCTCACTTCTAGGAACTTGCCCAGAAGATACACAACACAAAATACATAGGCACAAGATTATTAACTGTAGCACTGTTTGTAATTGCAAAATACCAGAAACATACTAAATCCCTATACATAGGCTATTTTTGAATAAACTACAGAATATCCACACTGTTGGATGAGGGAAGTGAGTAGGGTCTCAACGAACTGATATGAAATGATTTCCAGGAAATAGTATTTCGTTTAAAAAAGGCAAAGCAGCCGGGCGCGGTGGCTCATGCCTGTAATCCTAGCACTTTGGGAGGCTGAGGTGGGTGGATCACCTGAGGTCAGGAGTTCAAGACCAGCCTGGCCATCATGGTGAAACTCTATCATTTTTAAAAAAAAAAAAAAAAAAAAAAGGCAAAGCAGGCTGGGCACGGTGGCTCACGCCTGTAATACCAACACTTTTGGAGGCCGAGGTGGATGGATCACGAGGTCAAGAGATCAAGACCATCCTGGCCAACATAGTGAAACCCCCTCTCTACTAAAAATACAAAAATTAGCTGGGTGTGGCGGTGTATGTCTGTAGTCTCAGCTACTCAGAAGGCTGAGGCAGGAGAATTGCTTGAACCTGGGAGGCAGAGGTTGCAGTGAGCTGAGGTCGTGCTACTGCACTCCAGCCTGGCGCCTGGTGATGTAACAAGACTTCTGTCTCAAAGAAAAAAAAAGGCAAAGCAGAAAAGAATATATGTAGCTTCTTTTGTTTAAGAAAGGAATAAGAAGAAAACAAATCTGTTCAATTTTGCAAAAAGAAACATAGGAAAGATAAGTCAGAAATGAAATAGATTAGTTTCCTACAGGGCATAGATAGATGGGAATGAAATGAAAGGGATGAAAAAGTAAAATAACACTTTTTAAAATATCAATCTTTTGGCTCTACCTACAGAACCATTTAATGATGAATATGTTCAAGAAATAATACATTAACCAGGCACAATGGCTCATGCCTGTAATCCCAGCACTCAGGGAGATCAAGGCAGGCAGATTGCTTGAGGCCAGGAGTTCGAGACCAGCCTGGTCAACATGGTGAAAACCCATCTCTAGAAAAAATACAAAAATTAGCCAGGCATGGTGGTGCAGCCTACTTGGGAGGCTGAAGCATGTGAACTGCTTGTGCCCGGGAGGCAGAGGTTGTAGTGAGATGAGATCATGTCACTGCACTCCAGCCTGGGCAACAGAGCAAGACTGTCATAAATAAATAAATAAATAAATAAATAAAATCAACAAGGACTAGGAAGAATCCTCATATACAAACAAAAACAATGAACCTCAATATATTTCAAATGAACAGTTCTGAAACTTTCTCTATACTGGACTGAGCAAAGGAGTAAATGTATTAAAGACGTTAGGAGGCCAGGCACGGTGACTCACACCTATAATCCCAGCACTTTGGGAGGCCGAGGCGAGTGGATCACGAGGTCAAGAGATCGAGATGATTTTGGTCAACAAGGTGAAACCCCTTCTCTACTAAAAATACAAAAATTAGCCGGGCATGGTGGTGCACGCCTGTAGTCCCAGCTACTTGGGAGGCTGAGGCAGGAGAATTGCTTGAACCCAGGAGGCGAAGGTTGCAGTGAGCCGAGATCATGCCATTGCACTCCAGCGAAACTCCATCTCAAAAAAAAAAAGATGTTAGGGGCCAGATTTCCCCCACTGGAGAAGAGAGTTACAATATGGAACTTCAAGTTTGGCAACCACTAGAATAGGAGAGCAGCATGAAACAGATTCTTCCTCAGGGCTTCCAGAAGGAATCAACCCTTCCAATGTCTTGATCTTGGATTTCTGGCCTCTAGAACTGTGAGAAAATATGTTTCTGTTGTTTAAAATAGAAAGAGAGAGCTGGGGAGGAAGAAAGGAAGGCAAGCAAGCCAGCTAGGGAGAATCCTTTGGTGTTGGAATAGAATTGAAAATGTGAAGTTGTTCTCTTAAATATATATACACACAAAAGAGAAAACTAAATAAATTAGATTGATTTTAAAACATATATTTATATACAGAAATAGATGCATGTGTTTGTGTATATGTGCATGTGTGTATGGTGTGTATGTATGTGTGTTTCTAGCTCTACACATGGGAAGAGCCTAGAAGCAATGTCATGTCAGTGGGAATGATCACACCTGTCTCATGGAAAAGAAACTTGCTCCTTGAGAAGTGCCTGATGGCAGGGCTGGGGTGGAAAAAGTGCAGTGGAGCCCAGAACACCTTGATGTGCCAGGAAATAAGAAAGTGCTCACAAGCTAGGCAGGGTGGCTCACGCCTGTAATCCCAGCACTTTGGGAGGCGGAGGAGGGCAGGTCATTTGAGGTCAGGATTTTGAGACCAGCCTGACGAACATGGTGAAACCCTCTCTCTACTAAAAATACAAAAAAAAAAAAAAGCTGGTCGTGGTGGCACGTGCCTGTAGTCCAGCTCTTTGAGAGACTGAGGCAGGAGAATTGGTTGAACCTGGGAGGCAGAAGTTGCAGTGAGCTGAGATCACACCACTGAACTCCAGCCTGGGCGACAGAGTAAGACTCTGTCTAAAAAATAAAATAAAATAAATAAAGTGCTAAAAAAAATAATGGGGATATGTCAAACGATATGGGAAACAGCTGTTAGGATAAAATGCTTAGCAAAGTTGGGATGATTTAAGCATCAAAATAGATCGTGGTAGTGATGGACCCACAGAATAAAATAAGAATCCATGAGTTCACAATGATAATGAATGAATGGATAACAAGAAAAGCTCTTTCATTTTTTATTCTTTGTAGAGATGGGGTTTCACCATGTTGGCCAGGCTGGTCTCAAACTCCTGGGCTCAAGCAATCCTCCTAATAGCAGGAGCCACTATTCCTGGCACAACTTTCTGTAAGTTTGAAACTATACCAGAATTAAAAGCTCTCACAGGCTCACACACAGGCAAAACTAATACATAGATAAAAGGTCCCACTAAGTGCCCAGCATAAGGAGTGGAACAAGTCACATGCCTGTGTGGCAGGTGACTTTCCCCCACGCACTTGGCCTTCTTCCTTGCTAATTGGCCCTGATTTTTAGTACCAGATTTTTAAAAAATAGAACATGTGATACTTTAATTTTAAACATTAAAATTAATTAAAAGTCCAGGCGTATTGGCTCACGCCTGTAAATCCAGCACTTTGGGAGGCCGAGGCAGCTGGATCACCATAGGTCAGGAGTTCAAGACCAGCCTGGCCAACATAGCGAAACCCTGTCTCTACTAAAAAAAAAAAAAATTAGCTGAGTGTGGTGGCGCACACCTGTAATACCAGCTACTCAGGAGGCTGAGGCAGGAGAATCACTTGAAATCGGGAGGCAGAGGTTGCAGTGAGCTGAGATCCCCCCATTGCACTCCAGCCTGGGCAACAAGAGCAAAACTGCTTCTCAAAAAATAAAATAAATTAAAAGAAGTGTGTTCCCCTAAATAAGAAAAAAATGAGTGTTGTTGAGTGAATGTGTGGATGAGTGAATCAGTGAATGGGGAGTGAAGGAATAGACCAAACAGGTGAGTAAAATGAGAATGAACTGAGGTTTCTCCTCAGGTGCCAAGCCTTCTCCTCTACAGTTCCCCTGCACCTGTAGCCACGCCCACTCAAGGGCAGAGGCTCAAGATGCCTTTTTTATGGCTGACCACACCTTGGCAGCCAGGCTGGCCAAAGTACATTTTCTCAGGCTGGCAAAGTCCAGGCCAGGAGATCCCTGCTACTTCCGCCTTTCCATTGCCCCCACCTGCCCCAGTTCTTGAAGAAAGACACACCAGCATGCTGGGAAGGCAGCGTCAGCCTGGCAGCCAGGTGAGCCAGGTCTGGTGCCAGGCCTGTGCCTGGCTGGCCATGTGACTAGTGGTAAACATATCACTTTTTAAGGCCTCAGTTTCCCTGTTTGCTCCTTTAAGTGGCTTGGCCAAATCCATGGTTCACAATCTTGGCTGCACATTGAAATCAGCTGGGAACCTTTACAAAGTTCTGGGGCTCAGACTGCATCCAGACCAGCTAAGTCAAACTGTAGGGTGGGACCTGGGCATCCAAAGGTTTTAGAGCTTCCCAGGTGACTTCAAAGCATGGCACATTTGAGAGCCAGTGGGCTGTGATCTCTATAGCTCCCTCCAGCATTTTTCTTGGTTTGGTTTTGTTGTTGTTGTTGTTTTGAGATGGAGTTTTGCTCTGCCGCCCAGTCTGGAGTGCAATGGCGCAATCTCGGCTCACTGTAACCTCCACCTCCCAGGTTCAAACGATTCTCCTGTCTCAGCCTCCCGAGTAGCTAGGACAACAGATGCACGCCACCATGCCCAGCTAATTTTTTGTATTTTAGTGTAGACAGGGTTTCACCGAGTTGCCCAGGCTGGTCTCAAACTCCAGAGCTCAGCCAATCCACCTGCCTCGGCTTCCCAAAGTGCTAGGGTTACAGGTGTGAGCCACTGCGTCCGGCCAGTATCTCCAGCTTTTTGATGCTGAGGCCCACCCTGATGCCCCGTCTGTTTGCCCCGTCTTTTGTCACTGGAGGGTTAATTGATATGTGAGCGTCACCCGAACATCTGGGTTCCTATCCTTGCACCTCCTTCTGTCTTCAGCCTGCCTTTGAGGCGGCAGCCTTACTAGGGACTTTGACCAGCCCCACCCATTCTTCACTGAACCTCCTGCTCCAGCCTCTGTCTCCTCCATTTTGATGTCTAGAATCAGGGGATCCAGGATCATCGCCAAGGCCACCTCCCAGGTATGGAGGGGTCTTCCTGCTTCTTTCTTGTCATGCACAACTACTGAAGAAGGGGCTGGGAGAAAAGAGCAAAATGGAGAGAAGGAAGAGTCCATTCAAACCAAGAAACAAAGTGTTTGGTTTGTCTTACCCTTTTTTTTTTTTTTTTTTTAGACAGGGTTTCACCATGTTGGTCAGGCTGGTCTTGAACTCCCGACCTCAGGTGATCTGCCCACCTTGGCCTCCAAAGTGCTTGGATTACAGGCACGAGCCACCATGCCCGGCCATTTTTTTTTTTTTTTTTTTTTTTTTGGTCTTACCCTTGATGTAGAAGCTAGCAACCTTTTCCAAGGAGGGCCTGGCCTCTTCTAGGGTCTGGCTGGGTTCCTGCTGCGCCTCTCAGGCCTCTCCTCCAAAGGGCACCATTCCTTGGGTGAGTACTACTGGCCTGCCTGAGAAGGGAGTATGAAGTCTTGAACTTCAGAACCTCTTCACTTGCATCACCCTGTGCAATTCATGTAACGCACCGGAGCTTTCATTTCCCTATCTATAAAATAAATGATCCTGCGCTGTCTTACTGGGCTGACAAGAACACACTGTTCTTGCATTGCAGACAGATGTGCTGAGGCTTTAGAAAGTGCTTTTTATTTGGCTGGGAGCTTGTGAATAAATGCGAGAGAGGCTGCACATCTGACAGACTATAAAGGCGACTCATGGCTGAACTGGAACAGGATATCAGGGAGAAGCCAGCAGGTGGGTCTGGGAGTCCTGTTCCCGACATGGTCCTCAAGGAGCATGGGACAGGGGGCTGGGGAAGGCTGGAACACGGATGATGCTGTGGCCAGCAGTGCCCCATGGCTTCCCCTGCTCTGCCAGTGGGGTAGTGAAGCGCAGCGCAACTGGATGACAGGTCCTTTCAGAAGGAAGCAAGTGTCCATAGCTACAGTAAATAATAATAGCAGCCAGCTATTACTGGTGCTCACCGCTGCTGGGAAATTGTACCTTCTGTGTACTTTCTCACTGACTTCTTACAGTCCTGTGAGGTAGGACTGTTAACCCCATTTTCCAGATCAGAGAGGTTATGTAACTTGCTCAAGGTGTCAAAGCTACTAAGTGGCAGAGGAATTCAGACCCAAATCTGCCTGAGTGCAAAGGGCATGCTTTCTGACCTCCATGAGACCCTGTCCATTCACAGAGCTGACACATTCGTCACAGAATAAAATGCTTTCAGATGTAGTAGAGCAGGGAAAGTTCTCTGGCTATGCTGGGTGAGTTAGCCAGGCAGGAAGGCCTCATTTCAGGTCAGGTACAGGTATCTGTATCAGGTCAGGTACTGGCAGGTGGGCTGGGGCCCAGCTCCCCAGGGGCTGCCTGAGAAGGGGCCACGGCCCTGAGCCGCCTCCAGGGCCCAAAATTGAAAGGCAAACAGAAGACTGCAGATCCCCACTCACTAGGGGAGGGGACATTATTGCTGACCCAGGAGGGGGCTGAGTTGGGCAGGAGTGTCGCCTCTCCTTAGAGGCATTTGGCAGGGTGGCACGAACAGGGCTGACTTCATCAGGCTGTGGTCAGTGCAGTTGCTCAGGTCCCTGCATTCAGAAAGGCCCCGGGCTTGGGATTCAATGTTCTGTGGTTGTCGACTTGAAAGGTGTCATAATTTTAGCCTTGAACTTGTTTTGTAAGTGGCGTCAGATGAGACAGTGAAGCATGTGCCGGGGTTGGGAGTTGGAGCCTCAGCTCATGTGTGTGGTCTCCACACCCAGATCAGCCCCACAACTGCTGTAATCCTCTGCCAGAGTCCCTCATTCCGCTGTCACCTTTGTCCCCCTCGGGAGCTCAGACAAAACAAGGATCAGAAGTGGAGGAGTGGCAGGCAGCCCTGGACTCTCTCACCCACCCCCATCCAGGTAGTTGGTGCGTTCAAGTGGGGAGGCCACAATCCCTCAGGCATTGCCCATTTGCCAGGGGTTGAAGCCACAGCTTGTGAGAAGAGGAAACTGGATTCCTCTTCATTTTCCTTTTGCACTTGACTCTGCAAATTATGTAGTTGGTCCTGGTCACATCCACATCCGTCCATTTACCAACCTGAGCAAGTTACTTCCCCTTTAAGCCTCAATTTTCCTGTCTGAAAAGGAAAAGAGCAATGTCCATATCCCACAGGATTCTATTTTTTTTATTTTTTTATTTTTTTTTTGAGATGGAGTCTCACTTCTTCGCCCAGGTTGGAATGCAATGGCGTGATGTGGGATCACTGCAACCTCCCCCTCGTGGGTTCAAGCAATTCTCCTGCCTCAGCCTCCGAGTAGCTGGGATTACAGGCAGGCACCACAACACTCAGCTAATTTTTGTATTTTTAGTAGAGACAGAGTTTCACCATATTGGTTAGGTTGGTCTCCAACTCCTGACCTCATGATCCACCCGCCTCAGCCTCCCGAAGTGCTGGGATTACAGGTGTGAGCCACTACGCCTGGCCCCCTGCAGGATTCTTTTGGGGATAGTGAAGATTTTCTTTTTTTCCAAAATGCAAATCTGATTATGACAGCTCTCTGCTAAAAACTACAATGGCTTGGTGGTGTTTTAGGACAAAGGCTACAACCTTTCATCTAGACAAACACTGCCCAATCGGAATGTAATGCAAGCCATACATGTAATTTAAAATTGCTGTAGCCACATTTCAAAAAGTAAAATCAGGTCAAACTAATTTTAATAATATACTCTCCCCACTATATACAAATCGTATCAACATATAAGTATGCACATTTTGTTATTGCCTCCAAATATACCCTCCAGGGTATATTTCACACTCATCGTGTATCTTATCTCATACAACAAGGAGCTACGTAATTGGACTAACCGGCCCCTGCCAGCCTGTCTGACGTTCATTCCCTCCATGCTCTCGGCCCTGCAGTCATGTTGAACTCTCTACAGGGCCCTACTGAAAGCTCTTCACCTCCTCTGCCCTCTGGATCTAGTTAAGCCTATTCATCCTTCAGATGTCAGTTCAAATGTCAACCTTGACAGAGGCCTCCTGTGACCCCTAACGTGCTTTCAAAGAATTGTATATTTCACATTCACTATGCCCCCCCCCAACTGTGATTTCCCATTTATTAACATATGTCTCTTCTGCTGGCCTGCAAACTCCAGGGGGAAAGAGACATCTTTCGGGTTTTTGATCATGAGTTCCCCAGGGCTTAGCCCAGTGCCTGGTGCAAAGCAGCCTTTCAACATGTTCAGGGGATATTGTAAGTACCCCAAAGGCCTGGCATATGCAAAGCACTCTAAATATTCACTCCTTTCCCTTCCCTCTGGGTGAGAACATTTCTCCTTATAAAGGCACCCTCCTAACTGTGTCTCTGCTAGAGAACTGAAGACATAAAGCACTCTGTGCCAAAAATATTTAAGTAAAAACTTGAGCTAAGCACAGAGATTATAAATATTTCTTGCCCAGATTACACACCATTTAAAAATACTGCCTCAGCTCCTTTTCATGATTTGGGTGGTGATTAAAGGAAATTACTCTTCAAGACTGAAAGCAATTGCTGCCCTTGTCCCTTGAGAAGGGGAGGATAAGCTGCAGGGCAGGAAGCGGAAGCGGAAGTGGGGCACCCTCGTCCTTTGGCAGACAGCCAACTGGTGAGGTCCTGCTGCTGCTCAGTTCTCTCCTAATTCTTTCCCAGGTGAAGATAAACAAGAAGGCACAAATCCATACTTGCCAATGGACCCGAGTGATAACAACAAACCCAGTGACACCTGTCTAGGTGAAGACTCGGCCCCTATATGACCATGTTGCAAGGCCAAACCGAACATTTGGTTTTTCTTTGGACTTTTAGTTCGTTCTGCATCTTCTCAGGACAGTTAAGTTGGAATACAATGCCACTGTCCTAAGATGATAGAGTTATCCTATTTCTGGAGGAGTGGGGGCGGTGGGGAGGAATCTCAAGAGCGATTTGCTCCTCTGCACAACAGCTTCTTTAAGGATACCAGGGCCCCCGGGCTACACATTTCCCTGAAGCTTTCCAGATAAGCAACAAGGTATGAGCCACTGCTGTGTACTGCCTACGCGTGATGTGTTTAAATATCCATTGCATATTTCAAATCCTTGGCTGGCTTAAAGCTGCAAAGTTTCTGTTTTCAGTGGCCATAACGGGGGCATACCTCCTAGAGCTTGCCCAGTGCTCCAAGAAAAGCAGCCTTAGCTAATGCAAAGTGTGTATGTGCCCATGAAAGCTCCATGTCTACTTAGCATTCAGTTTTTAGGATTCTTTATGCTATCATAATATATAGGAAAATCTCTAATGGGTATTTTGTTTCTTTTACCAACCATATTTTGAATTTATGGGTGGTTTAGAGCTGGTGCTTAAGGTCAGAATTCAGAGCCCCAAAGAAAATGACTTCATTGAAATTGAACTGAAGAGACAAGAACTGAGTTACCAAAACTTACTAAAAGTGAGTTGCTGTGAACTGGGGATTAACCCAGAGCAAGTGGAGAAGATCAGAAAGCTACCAAACACCCTGCTCAGAAAGGTAAGGTTTATGAGTTTCTAAATGCAGAGTCACAGTGGGTGACATCATGTTTGCTGGAGCCAACCGTTTACCTTTTGCATTTCATGACACCAGAAATCCTGGCTGCAGAATGGCCAAACATAGTAGGTAGGTTGTAGATTTACACACCTAATCCATAAACCTTGTAAAAACCTGTAAATGGGCCAGGTGTATTGGCTCATGCCTGTAATCCCAACACTTTGGGAGGCTGAGGTGGGTGGATCATGAGGTCAGATCAAGTTACCATCCTGGCCAACATGGTGAAACCCCGTCTCTACCAAAAGTACAAAAATTAGCTCAGCGTGGCAGCGCGTGCCTGTAATCCTAGCTACTCAGGAGGCTGAGGCAGGAGAATCGCTTGAACCTGGGGAGACAGGAGGCGGAGGTTGCAGTGAGCCAAGATGGCACCACTGCACTCCAGCCTGGTGACAGAGCTAGACTCCATCTCCTCACCACCAAAAAAAAAAAAAAAACTCAGCAAGTGACTCCCCAATTTAAGACTCTAGTTCAGTACTTTTGGCTCCACCAATCTCTGCAAAACTGACTGGTTAATAAAAAATAGCGTGGTCCTCAGGAAAGAAAACACAAGCCCACCCTTACTTGCTTAGCAAAGGATGGGTTTGCTAAGTACCTGAAATCTCAGGAAACAAAGATTGTTTTGCATTTTTATATATTTCCCAGATTCAAAATACAGATATTAATTTTTAATTTTGGAAAGGAAATCTTATTTGGAAATTTTTTTTTAAGCTTTCAAAATTCTTTTGGATACAACTTTTAATTTTTTTTGAGACAGAGTCTCACTTTGTCATCCACACTGGAATGCAATGGCGTGATCATAGCCCACTGGAGCCTTGAAATCCTCAGCTCAAGCAATCCTCCCATCTTAGCCTCTAGAGTAGCTGGGACTACAGGGGCACACCATCGCACTCTGCTAATTTTTTAATTTTTTTTTTTTTTAGAAATGGGTCTTGCTATATTGCCCAGACTGTTGTTCTCAAGCCCCTGACCTCAGCTTCCTAAGTGCTGGGATAACAGGTGTGCCTTTGGCAATTCTTTTTTTTTTTTTTTTTTGAGACGGAGTTTCACTGTTGTTACCCAAACTGGAGTGCAATGGCACAATCTCGGCTCACTGCAACCTCCGCCTTCTGTGTTCAAGCAATTCTCCTGCCTCAGCCTCCTGAGTAGCTGGGACTACAGGCGTGCACCACCATGCCCAGCTAATTTTTGTATTTTTAGTAGAGATGGGGTTTCACCTTGTTGACCAGGATGGTCTCGATCTCTTGACCTTGTGATCCACCCGCCTCGGCCTCCCAAAGTGCTGGGATTATAGGCATGCGCCACCGCGCCCGGCCGGCAATTCTTACTGGTGTTTTGGCTGATGGTGTATATTCTTTGTAAACTAACATGTCAAGGGATGATCCTGCTTTCCCAATGCCTTAAAAACAAAAAACTGCTGGGTGTGGTGTCTCACGCCTGTAATCCCAGCACTTTGGGAGGCCAAGGTGGGCGGATTACTTGAGGTCAGGAATTTGAGACCAGCCTGGGCACATGGTGAAACCCTCTCTACAAAAAGATACAAAAATTAGCTGGGTGCGGTGGACTTGGGAGGCTGTGGTGGAAGTGGAAGGACTGCTTGAGCCCAGGAAATTGAAGGTGCAGGAAGCTGTTATTGCGCCACTGCATTCCAGGGTGGGTGACATAGCGAGAGCCTCTCAAAAAAAATAAAATAAATACAGAAATACCTTATGGGGTCTAGGCATAGTGGCTCATGCCTGTAATGCTAGCACTTTGGGAGGCCAAGGTGGGCAGATCACCTAAGGTCAGGAGTTCAAGACCAGCCTGGCCAACATAGTGAAATCCCATTTCTACTAAAAATACAAAAATTAGCCAGGCATGATGGCAGGTGTCTGTAATCCCAGCTACTTGGGAGGCTGAGGCAGGAGAATCGCCTGAACCTGGGAAGTGGAGGTTGAAGTGAGCCAAGATCGTGCCATTGCACTCCAGCCTCCTGGGTGACAGGAGTAAGACTTTGTCTTAAAAAAAACCAAAAACCAAAACTTATGGGTTCAGAACCCAAGATGCTGAGCAATACTAAGCCTTTTAAATACATTCACATGTATTAAGCATGATATAATTTCTTTTCCATATTAAGGACCAAGACATTCAAAGACTGCGGGACTTTCAGGAAGTAGAACTCATTTTAATGAAAAATGGAAGCTCCGAATTGACAGAGTATATACCATCTCTGACAGAAAGACCCTGCTACAATAGCAAAGCTGCAAAAATGACTTACTAAATAATCCCAGGAATGGCCAGGAATGGTGGCTCACACCTGTAATCCCAGCACTTTAGGAAGTCAAGGCAGGCGAAGCACCTGAGGTCAAGAGTTCTAGACCAGCCTGGCTAACACAGTGAAACGCCCGTCTCTACTAAAAAAAATACAAAAATTAACTGGCTGTGGTGGCACACACCTGTAGTCCCACTTACTTGGGAAGCTGAGGCAGGGTAACCACTTGAACCCGGGAGGTGGTGGTTGCAGTGACCTGAGATCGTGCCATTGTACTCCAGCCTGGGTGACAGAGACTCTGCCTCTTGAAATAAATAATCCCAGAAATAAAAAAACTGAAATTATTTTGTAAATAATGAAGTCCGGATGCATATAATAGTTTGGCTAACTTCATGTCTGAACTGTGAGAAATGTTTCCTCATCTCCAAATTCTCTGGGCTGAGAGTTCGGTGTTTTGACAAACAGTTGTAAAACAAAATTACAAGGTATAATAGACCACAGGCAGTTTATTTTGTAGAGTTGTGCCCCAATCCTGATGAGTGTAGGTGTCCCTTACAAGATTGTAAGGCCAGGTGTGGTGGTTCACACCTGTAATCCTACCACTTCAGGAGGCTGAGGCGGAGAATTGCTTGAACCCAGGAGGCAGAGGTTGCAGTGAGCTGAGATTGTGCCACTGCACTCCAGCCTGGATGACAGGGCAAGACTCCATCTCAGAAAGGGAAGGAATGAAAAAAAAAAAAAAAAAAAAAAAAAAGGCTGTGTCGTGGCTCATGCCTGTAATCCCGGTTACTTTGAGAGACTGACGCAGGTGGATCACAAGGTCAGAAGTTCAAGACCATACTAGCCAACATCTCTATTAAAAATACAAAAATTAGCCAGGTGGAGAGAGCTTGCTCTTGGTGTATCTAAAGCTATCAGTTACTCCTCGTATGTGTTGGATGAACTCACAGCCTAGCCCTAAGCTCATACTGAGGGGATCCAAGTCTTAACTGGGAGCATAGCTGAGAAGTAACAATACTACTGTAAAATGACATAGGGCCTTAGTTACATGAATCTTATGAATTTGCAAGTGCAATTTAAATTTCACTTTCCTCCTTTTAAAGAACAAACATTTTTGTTAACACTTCACGGTACCCCTATTAAGATCAGAACTAGACCAAAGCAGCCACCTCTCTGAGGTGATAAACTAACTTGAGCCTGGGGAAGGAGTACAGCACAGTCCACCAGTTTTCCTTCCCAGAATGGCATAAATCTGAGAAAAGCTTCTTTGGAAGCTGCTCAAGTAGGAAGACAAAAGCATCGGCTCCCTGGCTAGCAGCCAAGTAAAACTTAGGTTAAGATGAAAATATCACAGAAAACATATATTTAGGTCTTGTTTTCTAGCTTTTTAAGAACTACAATTAGGACCTTAAATTTGGGCTGGGCGCGGTGGTTCATGCCTGTAATCCCAGCACTTTGGGAGGCCGAGGCGGGTGGATCACGAGGTCAAGAGGTCGAGACCATCCTGGTCAACATGGTGAAACCCCATCTCTACTAAAAATACAAAAAATTAGCTGGGCATGGTGGCGCATGCCTGTAATCCCAGCTACTCGGGAGGCTGAGGGAGAATTGCCTGAACCCAGGAGGCGGAGGTTGCGGTGAGCTGAGATCGCGCCACTGCACTCCAGCCTGAGTAACAAGAGCGAAACTCCATCTCAAAAAAAAAAAAAAGGCCTTAAATTTGAAGGCTGGGCACAGTGGCTCACTTTGGGAGGCCAAGGAATGCCCAATTATTTGAGTTCAGGAGTTCGAGACCAGCCTGGCCAATATGGTGAAACCCCATCTCTACTAAAAATACAAAAATATGAGCCAGGTCTGGTAGTGCACACCTGTTAACACCAGCTACTGGGGAGGCTGAGGCATGAGAATTGCTTGAATCCAGGAGGAGGAGGTTGCAGTGAGGTGAGATTATGCCACTGCACTCCAGCCTGGGTGACAGTGACAGTCTGTCTCAAAAAAAAACAACAAAAACTTAAATTGGGCCCTCAAGAAACAGCATCTTTGAATTTGTCACTCATTTAAGGATTTTATGAAATGCACTGTAATTGGCTGGGTGCAATGGCTCATGCCTATAATCCCAGCACTTTGGGAGGCTGAGGCGGATGGACCATGAGGTCAAGAGATCGAGACCATCCTGGTCAACAAGGTGAAACCCCGTCTCTACTAAAAATACAAAAATCAGCTGGGCATGGTGGTGCGCGCCTGTAGTCCCAGCTACTCAGGAGGCTGAGGCAGAATTGCTTAAACCCAGAAGGCGGAGTTTACAGTGAGCCGAGATTGTGCCATTGCACTCCAGTCTGGGTAACAGCGAAACTCCGTCTCAAAAAAAAAAAAAGTAATACACTATAGTTTATATATCTATTAATAACTACATACACGAAGACATTTTCCTATTTTTATTTAAGAAATATCATTGGTGAGCCGAGATCGTGCCATTGCACTCCAGTCTCGGTAACAACAGCGAAACTCCATCTCAAAAAAAAAAAAAACACTATAGTTTATATATCTATTAGTAACTACATACACGAAGACATTTTCCCATTATTTTTATTTAAGAAATATCATACATACAAAAGCACATAAACATACAGCTTAAAAAAGAAAATACCGACAAGACTTCAGAAATAGAGCCTCACCAGTTCCTCTGAAGACCCCTCTCTGCCCTCATCATCACCTCTCCCTTCATCAAAATAGCTATTACTTCCTTTTATCATGTATTTGACAGCCTGTTTTTGGACTTTCATCGAAATGGAACCACAGTGGATGTATTCTTCTGTGACTTGCTTTTTTTAACCCCTTGATTGTTGAGTTTTGTCCATGTTCACATGCAGGGCTGCAGTGTTTCACTTCTGTGGAATTCCACTGTTGGAATATACCACAGTATTTATCCAACACACTTTTGGTGTACACTTGGGGTTTTCCCAGGTTTTTTCTTTTCTTCCTATTACACGCAATGCTGTTAGGACATTCTTAAATCCATCCCCTGGTACTCATGTGTAAGAGTTTCTCTAGGGTATGCATCCAGGAGTATATGGCTACGAGAGAGGTTATGGCACATGCACTTATGCCAAATTGTTTCCTGTTTCCCAAAGTTGCTGTTTCTAAACATTCTTAAATCTGTTAACAGATCTATTTGGAATGGCTGAGGGGAAGAAATAGATCAGCTATGAAACTCTTGAATTTTTAAAATAGTAAATTCAGAAATTTTTAAAATTTCAAAATTCTGATACAATGAAAAATACAATTTCCTTCTCTGCTTTGGCTTACTTGAAATGTACTTTTAAAAACTACAGGTTCAACTCAAAAGTGCTGTCTCCTTTACCTCAAAATAAATGTTTCTAAACATTACCAGGTGAAAACAGTAAGACTCAGAACATATGGATATACCATCATATATTTTATAGGATCTATATATGTTTATATTTCCTCCCACCTTCCCACAAAAAAAAAAAAAAAAAAAAAAATCTTGGAATAACTGTTAAACAGTAGTAGTTCCTGGAGATTAAGAACAGAGGGATAGGAGTAGGAGACATAGATCACTAAACACTTAAAAAAAAAAAAAAACCATATGCAACATTACAGTTGTAATACAAAATTTCAGTAGATCTGGGGTTCTTTCACAACTAAAAAATCCCTCAAGAAATCAAACTTGAAAACCCACTCTGAATGAAGTCCTATCCCACAGAATCATATACACAGTAACCGCAAGTGTTTTTTGTTTCATGCACATAACAGATGTTTAAGAACACATTCACATAGCCCATCTGCAATGCATTTTTAAAAACAGAATGGATGAGGGCTCAGAGCATTTCCACCATAAAATTTTTCAGTTCTTACAACTCCGAAAACTTTAATCAGAAGGTGGCTGAGCTCAACCGATATGCAATCCAAGTGCTCCCAGACCTCCGAAATAACGTTGGTTATCCTCTGTGACACTAACTGTATTTAAGAAACCAGAGTGCCTAAGGAAAGGGGGTTAAAATAGCTGAGCGTATGACTAGGTTATTATAAGCTCAAGATCTAGAAAACAAGAAGGATGTTTCATCCCAAATTGAAAAATGAATGGACTGTGTTTGAAGGAGGTGGGAAAAAAAACATGTCTTAACAAAAAGGGGCATTTTATATATATATATATATATATATATATATATATATACACACACACACACATATATATAGCCTATCTCTACATTCCAGAGGAGAGGACGTCCTGAGCAGCAGACTGCTCCTGAGAGGTTCAATGGAAATTAAACTATTGGACCAGTACTATATACTTTGATGGCTGACAAAGTTTACCCAACTTGTTTTATGTTAATAAACTGTTATTTAAGAAGTCTTGTCTTTTAGAGATACAAGTTGAATTACTTACAGATTAAATGGTATGTCTGAGACTTACTCGAAAATAACAGGGGGCAGAGGATACAAATACAATAACTCATGAAGTAAGAGTGGCCATGAGTCTTGTTGGTGATGAATTAACAGAGGCTAATTATACTGTTCCACTTTGTGTCTTTAAATTTCCAAAATAAAGTTGCTTTTTTTTGAGACGGAGTTTCGCTGTTGTTACCCAGACTGGGGTGCAATGGCACAATCTCGGCTCACTGCAACCTCCGCCTTCTGGGTTCAAGCAATTCTCCTGCCTCAGCCTCCAGAGTAGCTGGGACTACAGGCATGCGCCACCATGCCCAACTAATTTTTGTATTTTTAGTAGAGACGGGGTTTCACCTTGTTGACCAGGATGATCTTGATCTCTTGACCACGTGATCCACCCGCCTCGGCCTCCCAAAGTGCTGGGATTATAGGCATGCGCCACCGCGCCCGGCCAAGTTGCTTTTTAAAAAAATTAAAATTAAAAAAAAGACCAACTGATTACAGATTTCAAACTTACCAAGCAATCTGATTAATTAAAACTGGTTTGCTTCCCTTAAAGACTCTCCAAAGAGAAAATATACATTCACCAACTAGTAACTTTTTGGTGTGCATGGCAGAAATATTTATTTCTTCTAGTGAATTGGTCTCAATATTGTATTCTTGTGAGATGGCTGACAATAATCAGTTCCTCTTCATCCATATCAGTTTTGGGTATAAAACTCAACTTCTAGGTCTCTCTTCATGACTAAAGACAGGCCTTAGTCATGGATGCCCTGAGGAGTCAGGTCCTCCCCGCCCCCCAACCCCAAATCCCAGGTTAACTTCAATAGTTATAATAGAGCTAAGTAAGTGTCCACAGAGGAAGCCTTTTCACATGAGCTCATTTACAGTATTTCATTTAAGTTAGATGCTGATTCTAGATGAGGCACAGCAGAACAAATCTGGTATTTTAATAACTTCCTAAGTTTTTTTAATAATTAAAAAATCTATTATCAGAGCATGGTTTAAAAACTATCACTCCTTTGCTGCTACAACCACAATCTTGTCAAATTATACAAAGCAGGGCCTGGGAGGTAGCTTTGTGTTTGTTAGATTTCACTTTCCATTTTATCTTAATCCTCATGTGAATCATCTCTCACAAATTCAGAAAACCCACTCATCTATTGCTGCATCTCCAGGATCAGCTAGGGAGCTAGCAGGACCCTGTCTCCACAGTATTTCTCCACAGAGAGCCTCTAAAGTGGTGGCTTCATTATTTTCCAAAGTTTAGTGGAAGAGATTTTTGTAAATTCTTTTAATAATTCATTATGCCTATTAGAATGAACACAGTGGCTTAACAGTTAGGCACTGGACTATGAGGCAGAGACCTAGCAACTCCACAAACAGGAAGCCACAGGACCCTCCCTGGGTAAGTCATTTAACACACTCAGTTTCTTTACCTATAAACTGATAGCAGTAGAAAGTTATAAACCACAAGGAATTGCTATGATATATATATATACATATGTGTGTATGTGTATCTGCAGCTGGAGAGAATACTTTTATACAGTTGAAGAAGCTGTCTATAGACAGTAACATGCTGCCAGTGTTCCTAGATGTAATACAAAAATAATCACTTGCTTGGGGTGGGAGGAACCCTTGCTATATATACTACACACCCTATACACAAGCACATTTATAAACTGACAAGACCGGGCTAGAAGAAATCTTGATACAGGACCTAAAGAACAAAAACTAGCTCTTGAATGCTTTTCTACATCATTATTTCATAACTAGCTAGCTAAAGAGTGCTTGTCAGAAGGATACTTGGAATTTTCTACTACTAATCTCTGAGGGATGTAAAAATATATTCTAGTTCACTGTACATCTTTGCTATTAAAAGCAAAATTCAAATTTATTCATAACCACCTAAAATTGAAGCACCATTAGTTAAAACATTAAACTACAAATTCTATAAAAATTAGTCTTAAACAGAACACATTAGTTAAAACTGTACACCAACACCTCTAGTAATGGTGTAACTCTTGTATTTAAAACAGGGGACTAGTTCAGAGTCAATAACTTTATTAGAAAAAGATTAATACTAAAACTTTTCAATGACAGAGACAATCAACTTTGTAACAGAAAGTCAGAGATACTTTATTTTTACTTCTAAATCCAAAGGCTAAGTATAGCAGAGTTGTAAAAATGAAATCCCACTTAGTCTGATTCACACGAATACTAACGTTTAATCCTGTTTTCAAAGTCCAAGAATGAAAACTTGCAATTAAACACTGAGCAAGCCACATGTTTAAGTAATATTTCTTAAAAAGTCTTAAAGAAAAAAATATGATACAGGACCTAAGTTTTCAGTGGCATATATACTATTAACACATGTTTTGAAATCTGGTATGTCACATCAGTCCTGAATTAACCTTTAATAATAATAATAAAAAATCTAACTGAGCTTTATACTTTTTCTATGCCACTATAGCTTTCTTTCACCTCATTTTTTAAATGTCGATCTTCACTTTATGCCGTTCTCAGTATTCTTCCAAAAATCTTCGAACAGTAGTCCTACAATGCAAAATTTGGGGAAAAATGATAATTAGACAACACGTAAAAGGCCAATTTTTATGAGAAAGTGTTGGCCCAGTCACTAACTGCTAATTAACATGTGTATATGGAATGCTTGTATTCTTTTTAATTATCAAGGCATCAGTGTGGTTCTTAAAGCCATGTGCCTGTGTATACCTGCCTAAGTGTGAATGACTCACAGACATAACCTTATATTGCTTTCCCAAAAGGGGAATGCCATCAACAAATCAACTAATTGGTACTTCCTTTCATTAGGAATATTTTGTCCCAAGCCACTAGCCCACAGAATGAAGTTTATAGGTTTTAAGAACACTTACAGTACCTAACTTTTAATAGTTCGTTAAAAACCCAGATTCATTCTACATAGTGCATCAGTTCTTTGATTTCACAAATTGAAGGTGTCTGTCCTTAATATTCACACTGCTGCTTTAAATGTATCAGCCAGTGAGTGACTATTCCTGCATACCTATGGCTGACTGCAAATTCTCCTACACAGTAGGAAATATTAAGCACATACCTCTTATAGACTTGAGAATTGCATTGAGTGTAACAAGGCGAATAATATCAAGTGTTTATTGTATTTAAAATTCTTTAAAGATATCTAATTCTGGCCACCACTGCAGCCCTACACACAGTTGAAAAAAAATTCCATTCTGTTAACATTTGTTTTATACGTTTTCACACAATACACAAAAAACCCCCTGCACTTCTTGTAAAGAACAAAAAAGATACACAACAGTTAAGCGTAAAGATCACAGGCAATAGCATTCAAACATGGATGTGGGTAGAGAAAGGAGTACCTGGCATGAGTACCTGCTTAGTTTGACTGAATCCTTGATTTTTAATTTGGCTTTTCATGGGCCGCTCACAACACCAACGCTGTGTGAGGTATGGTAGTCAGCTGCAATAATTCATAAACCCTACACTTCCATCAATCCAATGCTACTGGCTCTCGAGTTACAGAACAAACTGCATTAGAATGCAAGGCAATAAAGCAAAAAACTAGAACATCCTTGACAAAGAAATACTAGCAGTTTAATTAAAACAAAGTAGTCCAACATGTGCCTCTGAAATATTTAAGTTTTTAAAGCATATGTCTCTGCCAATGTATCAAACACAAGATGGACTTAATACCAAAAAGAAAAAAAAAAAACAGTTCAACCTTTTTATATATAAAAAAAAAGAAATGACAGCAAAATCCCTAAAAAAAGGATAATTAACTTTTCAATGGCGACTATAATACAAATGTGGGCGATAATTTCCAAAGAGGCACACTAACGGGGGCACGAGTCTGCTACAAAATAGCTGAGACAAAACAATGTACCTCAAAATGTTTTGCAGGACTACACTGTCTTTTCCTTCAGAAGATGCTTTTGTATGTCTTCTTACTCGGCTTAGTTCCATCTTCATCTGTGCATACTTACGCTGCACTGTCAAACAGTAACAAAAAGCCCTAATCAAAGTGAGAAACAATACACTTACCTCTGGTCTGATCTGAGGTCTTATCAGATCAGTTTTAATTGGACTGAGTGTCACCTTCAGATTTAATGTCTTCACTGGTCCCATTGACCTCATTCTTAGTATCACTTTCCTTCGATTCAGTGTTTGTGTCTTCACTCTGTTTTTCTCGACTACAGGACTTCACACTACTTT